TGTCTGATTGGTCTTGAGTGAAACCACATTTGGTTAGAAGTAATACAAAGATCCTTACCCAGCATAAATACGGCTTTGAGGACAGCAAAAACTGCTCCAACAACGATGCTGTTCTGCGAGGCAGCAAGAAGGTGACGGTCACAAGACGAACGAATGCCAACTGAGGATTTGTCTGGAAAGCAAAAAAAATACACTTATAGTTCAAGAGTAAACACATTATACTGAAAGAATCAAGTGTTTCTAGTTCAGTACCTGACTTGACACCATCTTGTGGGACAGGATTACGCTGTGGCGTCTTAAACAGATGCAACAGGATTCTGCAGGTGAGTCGTGCTCCTGGCTCGGAGTCTTGCTCACTGCAGGCTGAAAGTTGACATAAAAAAAACTTGGATTTAATAACATTTCTTTACAGATTACTGATGAAGCTCACAGAATTTTCGATAGGCTATACCAGGGGTCTGCAACCTGCGGCTCTTTGGTACCTCTGCWGCAGCTTTCACCAAAACTAACACGAAATTGATTTTTTTTAAATCCACAACAGAAACAACTTTAACAGCTTTCCTGTCAATTTATTCACAAACGTGATTGAAACTACGAATACATGGAGTGAAACATGTTGATTAGATCATGCTGGTAGTTCGTTGAACACTTCAATATTTCAACTTACAGCTTGATTTTTTTCCCTCAAATTCATCAGAAATTAGTTRATTTGGTAACAATAAAAATAAAAGGAAGTTTGGATTAAATTAGGTATTAACTTTTTTTTCTTGTTTACCGTATATGAACACTGTATTTGTTTTAAATAAAAAGTGTAAAAATAATATTAATTGATCAAATTCACTAAATGTTTTTTTTTGTTTTTTTTAGTTCACCCCCACTGGCCGGAAACCACCCCTTCAACAAACTCAAATTGGCCCACAGGCCACCAGTTGATAATCACAGTTGCAATATGTTTTACAGCTCAGAACATTTTTCATTGAGCCAAAGGGAAGAGATGGCTCTTTTGATCGTAAAGGTTGGAGACCACTGGAACCATTTAAATGAAAATTTCGACTTAAACGTAGCCCTTTCACAGTCGAATGTCTCGTTTTTATTTGAGACAGTTTTGTTAAAAAAGAAGAGAAAAAAAATTTAACAAGTAAGAGCTTTTGGTAATTTGGCAGGTATAATGGTTTTATAAAATGAGCCAAATGAGGATTTCTCTTTAAAGTGGGGACAGAAGGACTACAATGAGGCTTTATGAACCCTGATCAAACAGTGCAGTTCTGGAAGTAAAATATCATGTTGGATATTCCTATGACATGACCTGAACTTTACAATTTTAATATATGCAACAGAAGTTATGTATAAGATTTTATAGATGGAAAATAAATCATCATAACAAGGAAAATAAGGTTGAGGTTTTGCTAAAAGTCTTTTTTTTTCTTTTCTCTTAAAAGAAATACAACATTTATAAGCAATGCTTACCTGCATTGAGGAGTGAGGGAATGGCCACACAGCGAACCAGGTCTTCTAAGAGTAAACACTGTCTGGCAATGAGAATGGCTACGAAGGTTGCCAGGGAATCATGGAAGGACAAATCACTAACCTGAGGGACAAAGGTGCAAGGATTAAATTTAAGACTGATATCATGTAAAACTATGTGGAATTTAATCAATCCAATTTATGACTAAGAGACAACCTGAAAGTTACACAAGAGTCCAGACATATAAATTTCAGTGCCGCATAAAGACCTCAGAGGAAACTCTAACTTACATCCACGTTACACAGTAAATCATTGAAGCCACAGTTGCCATTGTTGGAGGAGCAGCACAGAGCTTTGAGGATGCCGAGCCACTCGGCACTCAGGGAGCGACAGTACGCCGTCAGCTCGGCACACAGGATCCCGATATCGTTCACCCTGAAAATACATCCCCGGCCATGAAACAACAGCCCGACAAAACAAAGACACGTGGCAACAGAAAACAGAATGGTAACACAGCTGCGATACCTCTCGGGGTCTCGGTAGTCCACGCAAACATCCATGAGAACGTTACACACAAAGCTGTAGCGGTTGGCTGGGCTGTCGTTGAGGATTTTGCCCACCATGGAGTGGTTGAAGTTGTGGGCTGAGGGGTTGGCGATGGCCTCGTTCATGAACTCAGAATCCCAAAGCATGTTCGAATCCGACGGGTCAATATTGCAGTAGATGGAGTTTTTTACTTTGGAGCAGAACTCGCTGTGAGAGCATAAAGTGTGGAACRGAAATGACTTATCTCCAAAAAAAATCTATACCAGAGTGACAGATGCTCTACTGATAAATATAATTTTTATTATTATTTTTAAAAAGATCTAAAATAATTGTTTCACACTCCGATTTATTTTTTCTCACCTGAAAATCTCCCCAAATTTGTTCTTGAGGTGATTGCAGGACGTGTAGAGGTCATAGAGGTAAGCCAAGATGCAGCGTTCAGCAGAGGAACAGTCTGCTGGGTTCACACCGGACTTCACCACAATCCGCAACCTGTTGAGATATTTATCAGGACCCGTATTTATCAAACTTCTCAAGAGTGGAGGTTTAAACTTAAGTGCTGAGAATTCCTTAAAACTTACTCCCTACTTTCAGACGTCAGTGTAAACGCAAGCTGTCAAAATTCTTAAGATTAAGAATCACTTTTACTCTCCTGGATATATAAATCAGCTGGCGTTGTCTTGTGCAGAGAGGATAACGGTGGAGCAGGGCGGAGTGTGTGTGAAAATTTGCGTATTTTACAATCTGTGTATCTTGACATGTATGAATGTTACTGTGTTGAATGTGAACTTGTCCGAAGATTTTCACTATTTTTTTCTTGAAATTTCCCTGAGAATATTCTTGAGCATGAAATCCGAAGCAGTGATTGGTCCATGGGTTTTTTAATGACGTCATCCAGGATCAGCTTTGCGGCACAGCAAAGTGTYGTACATCAGCTTAAGACTGACACTTAAAATTTCATCCTATGCATTTTGTTCTTAGATTAAAACACCCTGTGAGACAAWTGAGGAGCTAAAACCAGGAGATGGCTGCTGTATGTTTATAATAAAGACTAAAACGAGGAAAAATGACATGTAGATACACACAAAAATAATGCAGATAATATATCTGTTCACACAACACAATGCTTTGATGAAATATAATATCCCTGTACTAAWTCAAACAGTTAAATCAGGTTTGCACATAATGCCTATAAGCAGTAAAAATCTCATTTTACTCAAGCTAAAGGTCATATAATCCACTATCCACCACCTCTAAGGCTTACTAATTATTACGCCATATATTCTAATCAGTAATCCTGTTTCTTGACTGGAAATAACAGCATCCCATCATCAGCTTCCTATCTTTTTTTTTGTTCAGGTTATTACTAATCTTCAAGGTTACATTTATGTTTTTTATATATATGTATATTCTAGGGATGCTCATGAATGACTTTCACTCGTCAGCATCTTTGTGAAATAAAATTTCTGATGWAAGTCAGAAGAGCAAGTTTGTGGAACAAGCGCAAACTGCCAATTAAAAYTTTTGTTTAGCTTTTTAAACTCCAAACATCCTTTTTACTACTTTAATTAAATGTGTAACAGAAGCCTTAACCCCACTAACATCCATTTGTGGTTGTATTAAATCTCCTTTTTTTTTTTGTTCATTTAAAGGCAATCTACATCAAATAAAATGTTTAGCAGGTTGTTACAAAATGGTCAAAGGTGCTGTGTTGACAAACTAATGGAATTTTTAGCTGCCGTACCCATCAAAAACTTGTGCTGTCTGCTCTGGGTTGAGAATAAGACAGGAGTGGTATCTCCTCAGCACAGCTACGATGCACAGACACAAGCTGGTGGTGTAGCTGCCCACCAGGCTGGAAGACTTCAGCAGCAGCTCAGCTTCCACCAGACTTAACTCATTAAGAAGCTGCAAAACATAAAAAAAATGTTGCATCACACACACACAAAAGAGGAGTCGAAAAGAGCTTTATCTAGTTTTACTCTTGTTGACGTCGTGGAATTTGGTACCTGAATGGCGAAGTCTATGAGCCCACTAATGTTGAGCGAGTACTCCATGAGGTCAAAGATGAACTGAATGTGTTGAACCAGAGGCAGGTGATAGGACATCCCTAAGGCAAAGCTGGTGATTTGCTCCAGAACATTTCTGGACACCTGAACACACAAAAACAATTTGAATTTTTAAAAAAAATAAATAAACAAAATGTGCAAACCATATCAATCTTCTTTGCTCACAAGGAAACTACGACAGAGCATTAGGGAGACTTAAAAAATGTTATTACGAGAATAAAGTCGTATGAGAATAAGTCGTAACCTTACGAGAATAACGTTAGTAAAGTAAAGTAAAGCTTTATTTATATAACGCCTTTCACAGAAATAAATTCACAAGGTGCTGTACATTCAGGGAAGGGGGCAGTTAAGAAATAGCCATTCAAGAAGACATACAAAACAAACATGGGGGAACAGGTGAAACCGGTCATGCAGCAAACACAGTTGCGCTACCTTTAACAACGAAACCTTTTATTGCTATCAATTTAGTTATTAAAGAATATTTAATTTTAATACAAGGACATTAAATTATTTGAATGAAACCGTCATATCTGACTGCTGTGAACCACTTTCAACTGAGTGAAAAAAAATCACTGATAACAAGTCAAGTCTCATTGAAAATACACTTTCCCGTGTTTAAACAACAAGCAGTGGACATGACTGAACTTCTTTGGTTTTTGAGCAGGTAAATAAACTACTGTATGTGTGGGGTTGTAGCGGCAAAGAGGTCCAAAATATGGAAGTAAACTGTGCCATTTTTGCCTGCAGTTATCATGGGATTTATAGTTTAATCAGGACCAGTAGCAAACTTAGCAGTTCATGAAGACAGATCTTGTCAACCTCTGATTATGACTCTTAACTTTCTTTATTTATGCAGCCAACGGTACTCAGGAATGATCAAAAGTAAAAAAAAAATAAATAAGACTTGACAAAATTAAATGTAAGACCTTGGATGAAAATCTGGGCGTTTTTAAGACTTGTTTAGATTTAAAATTTTGGTTTTCAAATTTTAGACTTTTTTAGACTTTTTAAGTCCCGGCATGAACCCTGTTATAAAATACAATGGAATATATATATATAAAAAAGTCTTCTTTTCCAACCTGCGAAGTGACCTGGTGCTGATCAAAGTGGGAGAGGTGCTGGAATTTGGAGAAGATATCTTCTGCTGTGGGAAAGGCCTCTGGCTTACTCCTCTTYCTCTTTTGTCCTTCCTCCCCTCCTGTGTGTTGCAGGAAGACGAGATTAGGACAGAATGGACACGTAATGGCCCACGATGTTCTGTCTGGCTGTCAAATAGGCCAGCTGTGAAATCTACTTAAGTGGCTGGTCTGTCATTGTTTCGAAGCTTCTCTCTAAAAGACGCTGCCGTAAAAGGCACTTAGAAGTGGAGCTTTTCATTTACACAAAACACAGCTGAGATAAAAGTCATCATGAGCTGGCAGGAATGTGCCACAGAATGGTCCAATCTGTGAATCTGTTAACTGTGAAAACCTTAAATCACCTTAATAAGGTCACTTGTATCAGAAATGATGTGGATGTGAACAGATGAAAGCCATTAGCATAGAAATCGAGTGGAAGGAAGATAGACAGCCCCTCTGACTCTTCATGGTTAATAAAGAAAAATAACCTTTTTTTTGAAGGTCAGAAAACAGATTATCTAAATTTCACACATTCAAAAAAAAAAAAAGTTAGGAGAAGCAGATGGAGTGAAATTCTGAAAAACCCAAGCACCGTGCTTACACGTGAACAATGTTTTGCAAACATTCAAACATCATAAAGCCTCTGCTTTCYGCTTTGCTGCCTGACAAAACAATATCTTTGATGTGATAAACAGAATATTCTGCAAACAGATGCAGGAAAAAAAAAACTATCCAGCCAATAAAAGGAGATCACATAATGAAACTTTAAAACAAATCCACAGCCTGGATTTTTATTCTAGAGGATGAAAAGGAAATAAAATCACGCTGAAACATTTTCCTAAATGAGGGCRAGACAAACTGCGTGAACACAGCTCGGCTATAAAAACAGAAATAAATGGGAGATCAGAGACATTAGTCAAAAGGAGACGACTGAGGCCAAGGTTACCTGTTTCTGCTGTGCTTTTGCGGTTTAGCACCTTCAAGATGTCTTTTGTGATTTTCTTGATGGTGTGTCGCGCCTCATCTCTCAGTTTGCCCACGCCGTAGAGGACAACAAGACGCTGGTTGCATTCATGACTGGCACTTTCCTCCTGGAGACATAAAGCAAACGATCCACATAAAACCAAAAGCACCCAATAACCCCCCAGTTCTGCAGATATATCTTGAATGTTATTTATTAAAATGAAAATTCCCTTTTGTTTTTAGAACAGAGCACAAAAATTGACCTTTTAAATAAATGGAAAAAACATCCAAATTTAAATGACTTGCTTAAAGTTTCTGTGACATTAAACTTTTGTAATGGATGTTTTTAACGCTAACATAAATAACATACTGCAAAAAAATATTTTTATACTGCTAAGAGAAACAGTTGTTGAGATATTTGCATGTGAAGTAACAGGAAGTGATGTCACAGGGGAATGACAGAGCACTGCTACAACGGCTAACAACACAATCCAGTTGTAGAGAAGAATCTCATGTTTCTTTAGATTATTCTGAGTTATAATCAGAGAGATGAAGAGTCAGAGTTTAAATAATGTCGTTTCAATAAACAAAGACCAGAGAGTTCCTTTTCTTAAGTCGTTCCCCTTTGATGTCACTTCCTGTTTCACTATGGCTGAGCCAAATTCAAAAGAAAATATGGCAGTTATGAGACAAAATCGGTAAAATCACGTGCATTTTATTTTACTTTTGTGTTTAAAAATGTGCTTTTCACAGGCACTTTAAATCTAAAAGAGAAGACTTGTCATGACTTCCTTCATTTATTCATTTCATTAAAAAAACAAACAAGACATTTCACACAATAAAATACAAATAAAACAAAATGAAAGGCAGCAGAAGAAAATAATTCTTATATCTGCTCCTTCAAAATAAATAAATAAATAAATTTTTTTCTTCAAACAATGATAAACCAAATAAAAAAAAATCTCAAACTGTAACTAACACAAATTAAACAATTTCATTTTTCTTCAACAATTCTTCCTTAATTGTTTTCTTATCTACTTCATTAGATGCTTAAAGG